AACAATAATATTCATTACTATTTATGAGCTCTTGCCGAGGGGGACGTCATAAAAGTTATATACTATATAATATATAGTATATAACGCCAGCATGTATTAAAGTGTACATTACTGTACCTGCATATCTAGTCTAGTCCCGTTCCACTGGCTCATATTAAATTAATTGTTAATTAATCATTAAATCGTTTTATATTAATTCAGTATTAATGGACGTCACAATATGGATATTTAATAATGATTTCGTCTTATGGAAACGTATAATTAGCCTAAGTCCTCCCCAACACGCCTCTAACTTAATTAGCACTCTTATAATAGTCATGTAATGAGCATGTAAGAAATTAAGCGACATTATAACACAGATAAGAAACACATCGTACAACGGTAAAATATATAATATTCGAATCGACGCTGATGGACATGGATTTGCCGCAGACGGGTTGTCAACCTTTGAAAATAAAAATAAAAAATTTTTTTTATTATTATTATTATCAGATACTAGTTTAACGGAGAAAGGAAATGTAATAATTTCAATTTACGAGGGTCACGATTTTAGTAAAAGAAAAAAACCTTCCGATGCACTATTGGTAAAAGGCAATTACAGTTAACAAGCACAACAATCACTTAATTCTTTGTTTATCTAATATATGCCTATATATATATATATGTTGCATAACATTTTTGAAAAAATATGCCGTAATTACATCGAATAACTGTTGTATGACAATTACAGTACACACCGCAAGTTAGAGCTACAAATTGACACACCTCACTCGATCTGATCAGCTGTATAGATATACATCTGATAGATGTATAGTTTTTTTATCACATTTAAAGTGAAAACTAAAAAAAAAACTATTTAAAATTATGAAAATGATTGTTCGACTAACTTGCTGATAGGCGTAAACAGACGCAACGTTGATTTTTAGTTTGAATTATTCATCTTTTCCTGGACCAATTGAACGAGTACATTCTTTCTGTGAAATAATTATCTATTAGGATATGGTTTGTGCGATTTATCTCATATAGTGTCGTCGCCATTGTCGTACAAATGTCTTTCTCGTAACTTTTGCAATTATTCTCAAGTAAACCGTTGTAGTATAAAAATAAAGAATGCCACTATTTCGCAGTAAAATAAAATAGATAATAAAATAATAATGACAATCGTTAAAGACGTGAACTTGTGTACGCAGATCGGTGATGACTAATGACCTCTCAGGGGTCATGCTGGCTTGTGCGTGTGTCTTTGATTGATATTTAATACCATCGGATATTAAAAAAATAACTAACTTTTATAAAAGAATACGATATTGCACCCGTTCGGCAGAATTAATATCTCATTTGTCTTGCAGAAAAATAATGTGCCTATTGTCATATTGTGCCGCTGACCTCCCGGTCGGCAACAAAGCGTTTGTCATCAAAAGTGTGTCCTTCGTATCGTTTGATTTATGAGTGCTGGGAACAGTGTGAACCAAAAATTAATAATAAATAGAAAATCTATTGTGTAGACGTTTGCAGTTGCTTCTTTAAACGTACATGATAATAATTGTATTGGTGGGGGAAAAATTTATTCTCTTCAACTAATCTATAAATTATTTACTTTATGTGTGATTTAAAAACACAACCATCGTCAATATTACTCTATTTTGTTTGATACATAATAAATAATGAGAACAATCTTTTAAAAGTCAATCAAAATGCTTTTTACTTTCCATAATGTTTTTTTTAATTAATAATATGGGAGTGGCTTTTTATAATTTGTGTAACTTTTACCCAACCTAAATGTATATTTTATTTCCCCCATATTTCCATTATCACCAACATCATGTAGCATAACAGGCCTTGAAAGCCCAACGCTATCATCATGCCAATATCATGCCACCATGAGATGCCATGATATTTCCCTTATGTGATTGATTGTAATATATGGTTTTAAACTATCACGTCATCTAATCATTTTTGAAATTAATCAGTATGAAAAACTGAAAAATATATTTTGGATATTTTAGTTGTTATTACTTTTATGAGTTTGTCTAATTTCATGATCCCTAACAATTTTATAATTCCATTACAAATATATTAGAATTGCAAAATGTATATTATATATTTTCATAAAAAGCTTGTTCAGTACTCTGTTTATCTCAACAAAGCAGTCACTTATTCAATGATTATATCGCACAATTAATTTTTCTAATTTAAACGTCTACTAATGATATTTATTTATTCATAGATTTGTAAATTTCATTCGGTAAAGCTTTAAAATAATAAGAAAACAGGGTTTTTAGACAATTATGCCACGGGAAAAATGATTAACTCTACCTAATTGTCGTCAATTTAAGAATAAGAAAATGCTACGTTTGGATAGAAAATTAGTTTGGCATGATGATTTGAAATGACTATACAATAAGCTATTGTTAACAAAACTACCAAAATATCAGAACAATTTGACATGTTATATTATTAAGTACATAATCATAATATTAGAAAAAAAGTATATTGAGAAATTGGGCGAAAGGCTTTTTTTTGCCGGCGCGCACGTTTATTGCCTATCTGAATCGCCGCTTTATGATTAAATGTTTATCCCACGTGACTTCAAATATTTCAACAACATAACTGTGTGCCGAGTCTGAGCAATTCGCTTTTAACTGTAAAATTATTTTATTCATAATAACCACGTGTAATTAATTATTGAACATTGTATTAATTATGTGTAATTATTTAAATTAATAATTAAGATAACCAACCTAACACATTGTGTTACTATACTCAAGCAAGTTAAATCATTCATACCAATAATAATAATAATTTTATTATAATTTTAGTTCGGCATTTTTTTATCAAAGTAATTTTAGAACTAAAGGATTTTTATATGATTTTGAAGGGTTATGCTTCATAATATATTTTTTTTAATAACTCTTTAGGTAACTATAAAATCATTACAAATAAAAAAATGTTTTATCGATAAATACTATATAATAAAAAAACTTGTTATTGGAGAAGCTATGATTTTGTATTCCCACAAGACCCGATGAACATAATCATGGAGTTGACGGATGTCGAGTAATCGAGGCTAAACTGTATTCGTAATGAACAAACAACATATTTTATTAGGCTGTTAGTGTATTTCTAACGGTGTGAGTTAAAAAACACAAGAACGCCGTGTCGTATATAGGATAGAACAGCTCTTACAAAAATGTCTTTTGTAATATAATAATAAACCTAAGTCACACGTTGAACAGTTCAAATTTATCTACTTCGTTAATTCTTGAATTATTATACAAAAAACACTCTTTTACGGAAACACTCGGTGTACTGTAATTAAACTGGCCAATGTGTATACACCTAACTTGTAACAGCATTAGCGTTCAACGTCTCGATGTAAGCGGAAGAAAACACTCGCGTGAATTCCGTTTGCATTAATGAAACGTTCACACATATTAGCACTTATCTATGTATATATATATACGACTGTAGTTATTATCTTCATCCGGACGGCGACCTCACAAACGACCACTTTTATACATTGAACGTGCGTATTACGGGTGCTCGGTTCAGACACATTTATAATAAACGTTGCATACCGACTGTATAATTTTAGACAACCTTTAACGCCATGTGTACTTCCTATACTTCTCGACTTGAAACGGTCACGGAATTCTGCACGCTGGCCTTAGCACGTTTTAAGTCTGTTCCTTAGTAAGGATATAATAATAGATATTTCTAGTACATGTAAAAAAAAAAAAAAACAATATGTTAAAAAAATGAATTACAATACATATTACTATCGATAACGGCCGGATTTAATATAAATAGACGGTTCTTATGTTTTAATGAGCAAATATTAACCATATAACTTGTATATTCAAATGTGTATTAATTTAATAATTATACCAAAGTACAGTGATCCAAAGAGCGCTGTAACCAAACGGAAAGCCTGAACAAAATTCAACATATTATGTAATTAATGTTGCGTTATAACTATGTTTTTAAATATTAAATGTTGTTTATTATGAGTCTTTAAATGTGCATTACCTGTATAATTCTTTTTGCAAATTAAAGAATTAAACCCGTGTATATCTATTGTGAATATTATGATACTCATTGTATTAAGAAATGTAATATTTTCATTTTCGCAAAATGCGTTTTACACGTTCTATGCGGAGTTTAGAACAAATGCACCTATTACGAAATCGTATAAGGATGACATCTTGGAGGAATTATTATATCCTATTTTAAAATAAGACCTAAAAAATATAATTACTGTTTTAAAAAGTAAAAAAAGTTTTTTTTAACATTTAATATTAAGTTAAATACTTAACATATTAAATAACAGCTGTGATATTATCTCCAAAATCTTTAGGTTTCATTACAGATGTTTTCTCTTTAAAACCACCACGGGCCGAGTAAAAAATTCATTCTGCGTCGATATGTTTATATGAAAAATAAAATATGTTTTTATTTCGCTTTCGAGGATGCTGTGATAATCAAACACAAAAATAAATGACCAAAAATGAGTCATAACCGCCGTACTAAATATAATAATTACACATTACACTTTAAGCTTTAAATTAACATTTTCCAAAAATCGCCTACACCGGGTATATGTTATAACTTATGTTTAATCATTTGGTTAATTCAATGTAGAATTATTTTGTGGCTGCTTCGTTCTGTGTGTTGTTACATTCTGTGATACACCCATTGTGATATTATAACATTATGCGTGTAGCACCATGTAGAGTACTCAGTGTTCGATCAGCTCTAATTTGGTTATTGCCATGTAGTGGGAAATTTTCTATGCTGAATCTTTAAGGTGTATCGGTTGTGTAGCGCTAACAATGACAGTAGGTAAAGAAAGGTACACCGTTTCGTCTTAAGACGGTGGTGCAGAACGTGTCGTGTACATACACCTAGCTTCGGTATATGAATAGAATATGGTTGAATAGCGGTTGTGTATACCTTGTAGTGGTCGGCATTAGACTAAATTAAACCATTGAATGTTTCAGATGACTGAAGTGACGACCAGGAACGTCGATTATGGAACATCTGCCACTGCTATTATCGATGACAGCGACAAAAAAGTCTTGTCCGTCAGACGCTACGAGGCGAAACCACCGGAAAACTTAGATTTGGTAAGAGCATTATGTTTAAATGAAATCCGTCTATTCCTCTGGGATGTAACCATTATACAGCGTGTTTCAAGTTTTAAGTAAATGATTATGGTTTTTTTTTTAAATTTAAATTAACTAGAAACGTGATCACACAAAAATAAAACACTATTCTTGAAATTTTTTAAATGTGTAATGTACAAAAAGCTAATGAAAAATTCATACAGATTGTATAGAAATATTAAAGCAGGGTAAGCGATTAAATCTTGATAATTACCATTTACCGTGGAAAACGTTTTATTTTAATAAATGAAACAACTATAATCTATTCTGGTACTAGAGCTAAACGGTTTTAATGAAACAAATTGAATAACATACAACATATATTATAAACCTTTTAGGTTAAATACGGTAGAAACTTAGATATCTTGTTCATTAAAAAATATCAAAAGGAGGTCGAACATAATAACGATCAAGATCCATAGTAGTAGTATTTTATAATGTACATTTACACTAGGGTCATAACTTGGGCGAGATAGCTGTTGACCATAAGTTAAAGCGTAGCGTTGTATTTATAATATACATTTTTATCTATATATATATATATATATATATATATATATTATAATATATGTGTGTATCAAATAAGAGTGTAGATGTAAATCGATACGTATCGTTTATGTACTTTCTAACGATCCATTTATGCGGTCTGATACATAAAATCATCTTATGTTTTATTACCACAACTTTTCTTGATGTTCGTATGGTATAATGTGTTTTGCGTTATTAGAACATAACAATATAGTTTAATTATATGTTTGTATATACCTAGACACCTGTCAATGCCTAATACATTGAAGTATTTTATCGTATGCGGCTTGGCCGACAACTACACTGTTAATGCAAAGTTTACGCCTGTATATGTATTATTACCCGTAAACTGTTATAAAACAACAGGGTACCGGTAAGCTTAAATAAAAGTAATACTTTGGCATTAGAAAATATATTATACAAGAATGGACCGTTAAAATGCATGAAAGCCAAATGTTTTAATAAAAATAACTAAATTCTAAGGGAATGCAGATACTGGCGTTATAACTATATAACGACCCTCTGTAAATCTGTTCGAATATCGAATATATGTAGTCATATCGATAGTGGCACCAGTAGTAAGTTTCGACAACAAATACAATTTACTTTTTAATACACAGGGAGTGTGACACGACCTTAAAATTTCTTTTTTTTAAAATTCAATTCACTTTAACATTTTTATACGCAGAATCATTTTTTTATGATTGGTGGAATGCTAGCGTTAGCAAACTTCTCGACCATTATTTTCTCACCTTTGCGCGGGGTTTCCATAAAAGTTAAAACAAACTCTATCCTCTGGCAGTGAAAAGTGAATGAGCTGTGTAGAAAGTGGAAGTAAGCGCGCTATAATATGCAAGAGCAGAAAATATACATTATAATATTACAGCAGTGTGGTGGCGGAGGCGGAGAGCATCGTTGCCGCCACCGCAACAACACGACGGTTAGCCGTTCAGTCTGTCCGTCCGTCGGCGAACCCGTCGCTCGCGCGTTGGCGGTAAACGTTTCATTTGAATTTAAACAAAATTGAACAAAAAAAAAAAAAAACCGCCCGTACGAATTGCCTTTATTAAATGTAAAAATGAAACGACGGGGTTGAACTATCAATGTTATAAAATACTCACATAAAACGACCCCGTAAGTCTGTTCGAATGGTAGTCATATTGATAGTGCCACCACCATCTACCCCCGACAGCGGCCATGGCATATATCCTCATCGCCCGTCCGCCAAAAGTCCCGGGGATAGATCCACCACGACCACGTCTATATCGTTTATGTCTTCCGACAATGACTCATCTTCATATTCGTTTTCGCAGGTCGACCCGGACAACCTGATCGCCACCACCAAAGAAGGTAAGCGCAATGATTTTTGTACTTACACTAAATTTAGTAAAGTCTTGAACCGGATGGACGTATCAGCCAAACTGATTTTTCGATTTTTGTAAAATATGGTTTCCTATAAAAGTTTATCGTGTTTTTCATATGTACATAAATTAAATCTAGCATAATTTTACACTCGAGTACATACTTTACTCGCTCTTAGTTAACCAACAACATTCTTTGACCCTCTAACATATGAAGGACTCTAAAGGATGTAAAATTACTCCATCGAAAAGTCAACGAACGATTGATACGTCCCTTTGTTCTAAACCGAAGATGCACATTAACTGCTTTTTATCTGCATGGCTTATTATTTATACAATCTCCTTAAGTATTAGGTAAGCGTTAAGTCCTCGACACGTTATAGAAGAGACGACTTATACTTGGATCATAACGAATACGTTATTTATATTGTATCAGTCGTCAAGTTTACTAATAAAAGATGCGTATCAACCAAGCATTTTCGATGTGGAGATATTTACAATAGTTGTCACACAATCGTACATAACACATAGGAAACAAAAACCTTCTTAATGGGCAACAACATTTTATCGGTTTAATTAATAGGATTCATTTAAGTTTTGTACCAAACGAAGTGCCCTGAAACGTCAAATATAATATCATTTTTTGGGATTTCAGCACTCGACTTATAGTACTCTGTCTTCTGGGCGAAATTAATGTCTTATTTTACTTAAGAGGGCCGATTTTCGATTTAAAATTTGGTATGCCTAAATTAAATTCAAATGTAATTCGGGAATTATCACTGAATTTTCAAATATAATAAAAAATAATTTTGGAGGTCTTCAAAAGAGAAAATTGAAAATCGCCTTCCAAAGAAACCTAGAACATTCGTCAACAAATGCATACATATTTTTAAAATTCAACATTGGGAAATATGTCTTTTTTAGTATAATATAGCTACATTTGTGGGTGTTTATTAAATTAAATAGGTTCTTATAATCATACACATAGATATATCGTGTACAGAGTATACTTTTCACTGTTGTTTATACAAAATGTATACACCATACACCTAACATATTTGCTAACCATAGTCCGTGTCAATTTCTTAATGTAGGGAAAAATGAAAACACGAGTAGTTCACCTACATAAAATTGTTACGGCAATCTGGTTATTAGAGATTCTACACAAGTGATTTTGTTTGAAATTTAATTTGGAAAAAAAAATGAATTAAAAACAACTGCGGCAAACCGTGAACATCATTAAGTCTAGAACTCGTATAGTTATTACTGAATGAATTATTTCCCCGGTAAAAAGTACATATACAATATGTTCTCATACCTATTATTTGCCTATTATCATTAACCTGAGAGAAAATGGAGTTGACAAAACGCCAATAAATCTTAATCGCTTGGTCAATTACTCAAGCATTTACCAACAATTACCTCAAGCATTTGGAATGTCCAACGTTAGTTTGCAGAAAAATGTGTGCGCAAGTACAAAATTAGCATAGACGTGAATAATTGCAGTCGTTTAACAGCACACGCTCAAACTCTACTACCATTGCATTTATAGACAGTCAATACAACGTACAAATAATATAATGAATTATTAAAAAAAAAATTAAACGCAATGAGTGGCGAATTGTCTTTCTATTCTTGGCGGGATTGCGTGCGTTCCGTTGACGCAAATCTTATATTATATGAAGTTTATAGACAAGTCACACGGGACTTAATACTGAAAACGATTCACGTACACGAATTCCATATTATAATACCTACACGATGGCGTATGTATCAACAAACGCATTTCTAAATAACGATAATAAAAATAATAATAATGTTCTTTGCACATCCACGACACAGTATGAATACCTAATAATAATAATATCATCGAATAGTGAAAACACAAAACGTTTCCAAGTCCAACGCGTCGTGTGCGACTATCGTCCACGAATATGGTAATTAATTTTTTTTTAAATAACTTTATTGCCACTATTCCTATTGCAATCAATTCCGCAAGTCGATAATCTTGACTCGATCGCCTAACATCGTGTGTACACATATATACTTATAATATTTCATAATATTGTGTTTACTACTCGAAAATGGCACGAAACAAAATTACAGCCGCAAAACAATCAACGTAACAAACGTCCATCATATTGGTTGAGTATTTACATTTTGGTTTTACTTGTATCACTCTAGTATAGCTGTAACGGGTGGAATTGATTTTAAATGTCTTATTTTTAGGAGTCCTTTAAACATCTAAATGCATCGCGATTAGTGTTAATGAATTTAGAAACAGGAGTGGACTGAAAAGAAGGTACCCAAATGTTAAGTAGAAGTAGGTAAATGTTATAAATAGAAGACATACAGCCATACAGGTGAGTGTAGTGAAAAAAGAAATAGTGACGGTTAGGCATTTGTGGAAGGAGAGGATATAGTTGGCTGACTCCATTTATATGAGGTAAGGTGCGAAAGAAGAAAAAAAGCCAATTGAATAAATTTATAATTCAGCGGGAAAGATTTTTCGCTCCACATAAAATTTTAAAAATGAAAAAACTTTGGTTTATTAAGATACAACCCTTTCATTTGTAGGCATTCTGGATTCATTTTTAATTGGGTAATTATGTGTATTTTCTAGGTTAGATTTTTCCTTTTTACCTTTGTAGATTTTTAGGTAGTTAATTAAGCTCTCATTATTGACAATTTGATTGCTTGAATGTTAATTTAAACTTGTGGAGGACAAGTGGCTGAGTAGGTATAGCGGCAGTGCGCTAGACCTTGTTGTCGTTGTTTCGACGTTTGGCTACGGATGGTCACTCACTTTAAGAAAAAAACTGTATAGAGATAGAGAGATATTACCAAGTACCAACCTCCACATAAACCTACTCCTGGTCAATAAAAGCCATGCGCAATAATGATAATAATAATAATTTTAACTTGAGTTACATGTTTGTCTAGTGTATTTGAGTAGGTAGGATTAATTTATGTGAGATATTTGGGTTGATAAAGTATAATTTTCTTTTACTCTATTAATATATCTTATAACGGGCAAGTTTACATATAATAAGTTATCAGAACCCTTCTTGGCGTAAGCTATAATATTGTTGATATACACTGAAACATTTACTCTGGCTCTTTGGTATATTGTGTTTAACTATTTAAACACAATCACAAGATAAAAACTGTTAATAAACTGTTAGTAATAATGTTGTGTAAGCACTAAGCTCTATAAGTAGGTGAAATGTTTTCACGACAAAAAAATAGGTTGGCCACTGTCGTTATTAATATAAAAAAATTGTCACATTTCAGTTTTTGACGGTTCAAGGGCGGATCGTTTGCGTTAACTGTTGAAGTTCGCAGGAAAAAAATGCATATTTCATACTGGTTAAATGCGATTGTATTTGTAAATTGTAGTGTAATATAGTACGACCAATACAGAGCATGGTGGACTCCTCCACTTATCGAATTTAGTGAAGCCATTACAATCATACTAAACCAATGAAATCCAGTACATTGTATTATATACTTATGCGATTAAGTACGACAATGGTAGATAATTTGGAATAACCTATATTTTTTAAATAAGGTAAACCAGCGGAAAGACCGAGTAAACACAAATCGGTGTCAAATTGCACGGACCGGATACCGTTGAATTTCCATTGCCAAATACAATAATATTACAAATGTTAGTGGATTTTGGGAGATTAAATGTAAGTCGCACCTTGAAGTACTATCGAAATCAGCGTACCGTAACGACAATTTTTACTCGCGTGACACTGTCAATTAATTTTATGTTATAGTAATTTGATTTATAGAAGTAATTTTGTTGACTACTCAACCGCTCACAATTCAACATTTTAGTATTGTTTATAGGCGTGAATCATCAAGGGAAACATAAAAAATATCGACACGACACATGAATCAATCAGTCTATAATTACAGAGCTCAACTCATCTTTGTAAACTATTTACTGATTATATTAATGAAAGGCAGATTACATTTTTATAAACAGTTAAATGTATCATTTATTTTTAATAACATAGCCTAGGTGGGATAATCTTAAAATTAGGCGCGAATCAAAGTCTATTCAATAATCTACTTAAACCGATTATCGACTATGGCTAAATATTTCAAAATCAAATTGTTTAATATCATCTTGCATTTATGTCATTATTCAGTTTCTTAGACTATTAAAAATTCATCATAATAACAATGTCATATAATTCATTTAAAAGAGGTGAATAGAAGTATTTTCTGTTGCATGTTGCCATGACAATTACTACTCTTGAAAAACTGTGTTTGTCCATAGATTGTAAGAAAAAAAACAATTTTTAAAGGAATATTAATAACACGTTTAGTAAGTACACTACAACCAATCGCCATGATGGTGTTATTCCTTGCACATTTCCTTATTAATATTCGTGACGTATCCTGAACACAATGGACGGATAAAAATCAATTTTTGTTTTGCAACCATTGCTTCGTTGCTTGCTAACGGACCGACGTTTAAACAATTATTACAAAACCCCAAAAATACTTCATAGCCTACACTGAAGGTATTCGGTTCGGCGGAATGGCAGTATGTCATTATCATTATTAAAACGTACAAGAATGTATTTTTAATTAAACATCGTCTACGGATGTTTGCAAATTATGGTGTATAACCTATGTTACCCGTATCAGTTACAAAGGAATACAAAGCGTGAAAGTTTGCTTTGTACATACAGCATATTATGACATGCTGTCATAGTTAGATATATAGTCTTATGTTATTACGTTTTTAAAAAATAAATATGACAATAATTTGTCAATATTTAAAACTTTAAAACTATTAAAAATACATTAGGTAGCTGTTTATGTATTTTTGATTAATGGCGCTTTGTTTGGTGGACATTTTTTGAAAATGTCTAAAGTTAGGTGATGTACATTCCAAAACTAGAGTACATAATATAAAAATCATATATTAATAAGAAGAAACCCCGTTTGGTGCTACATACACGATTTACTCGCCCCATTGATAATGAGATAGGTGACGTGGGAGCGTTTGAAGTGGTTGAAGTATTCAATAGAATTCCATGGAGTATTCTAGAAAATTCGATAATAATATTTGATAGATGTGTTGAAAAAAAATATTATCTATATCAGCTAGCAAAAAACATGAAAAAAAAAATAAGGCGCTATAACCGATATGGTAATAAAAAAAGATATTAATAATAGGTAACATAAAAAAAATAAAGATTTATTTTATGTCAGTGTTAAATGTTAATACGTTTGAATCGAATTATATTATCGAAGAAAGTAATAGAACGTGAAATATGTAGTACAACTGATCGCAATAAAACTATTTAAAAGTGAAGCGATAAAAAATGGCATACAATAACGATTTGTAGATGATTCTAATGTTAAATACTATATGTCAAAAAAAAAAAAAAATATATATATATATATAGTAACACACTCTATACGTTATTATTTTTTAGTATTACATTTCATATAATATTTGAGGATATTTTGTTTGTGTTCTTGGTTAATCACTAGTGCGCTACCGCAATTTTCATAATATACATTTTGACCACTAAGTTATCCTCCAAGGTTTCGTCAATGTGCGGTGTGAGTACGAGTGTCAGTAATAACTATTGTCCTCGCTGTTCTAGACAGTATTGGTCTTACATAAATAAAATATAGATATAAAGTATATGTTAATTATTTAAACATGTTATCAGTTTGGTCGTTCTTAACGATTACCTATCCTTCAGGTGCAAATAAAAGTGCGTTCAATTCTTAACCTTGGTCCTTGATACAAATAATAAATTATTTTAAAAGATGTACAGAACACACTTATAAAACATTTAAAATAGACATTTTGTACCGTTTTTTATAATATTATGTTAAATTGTATAATATAATAATATTATTATCCGTGTGCCAAATTTCAAGTCAGTACGTTCAAAATTATTACTCAACTAAATTTGATCATAACCATAAACTACAAAATTTAACTTTTTAACGTTTAACTTGTTTACAAATGTATGTCAATCGTTCAACGTTTAGACTAACGTAGAAAAAATATTTTTTTTTAAATATTTTGTTCCCGTACTATTCAGCTATAAACTTTTTATAATATCTTCTTATATTTGGTTAATGTTTTTTTTACAAATGAAATATAGGTTATATATGTATACCACAAGTAAAAGAAAGCACCAAATAGTATTTATTCGTAATATCTACCTTATAATATATGTAATTCTTTTATACAATACTTAAATTGAAAATTTATTATTTTCGTTGACAGCGGTGTATAAAATAGAAAAATAATAATTTAAAGTAGGTAAGCTTGTTAGAAAAATGATACACAATTAGGCAAATACTCCAACAAAATTATATTAAACAATTTTATTTGGGAATTATTTTTTTCTCAGTTTTATAAGGTAGGTAGGTACTACTGATTTTTATATTTAGATAACATTTTACTGTCCACCGAAACATATGTATGATTCTAACATATATTACATTTTAGTTGTTTTGTTTATAGCCGCGTGACTTGTAAGGAGCACGAATTATAATGTAATACACTAAATGTCTGTATTCTGTATGCACATTTGATAGTAGAACAGAGTAAAACGAGAAAAGGAAATTATTAAAAAGGTAATTAAACAATGCTAAAATCTTTATACCTACTGCCTGTATTAAAACAATTATGACATACTAAAAAGAGTCTAAGAAAATGCTTAGCTCAAAAATATTACTAGTCTCTTAAAAGCATAGCATTAAATATATACATATTCATTCAACTTTATAACCGATATACCTCTTGGCTCTTGTAATTTATTTTGCTAGTAAATAAAGAAATGTCTAACTTAATAACATGAGTTTCAATTGCCAAACCCCGAAGAGCCCACTGCCCAAGTACAAAAAATAAAAACTGTTATATCAGTAAATTTATAAAAATGATAATATATTTTAAAAGTTTGTTAAATATAAACAATGAATATGTTATTAGAAACTTAAAATTAAATTTTTTTTTTTAGTAATATAACGTATATATAACGTTGTATAGTTTAATATTTTATTTTGATGATAATACAGTTTTCATTTATTATTGTTTTAAAATTGCTAGTCCCTTAAATGTCGTTAACATGAACGGTTTCTACAGTATATTCTGGACATGAAATGCCAGTTTCGACTTTCGACAATCTACATTTTGTACACCAGACAAATGGTCAATAAATATGATACAAATAAATATCATAATAATATTTGTACCGTGACACTGTTTGCAACTGTTCTACTCTGTTGTAATATATTTAAATTAACATACTTGTGTTACCGTAATGATTCACGCGGAAACGTCTCGAACTGATGTTCTTAAGGATAATTTTTTTCTTGTGAGCAACATTGTACACTTTCTCCACCCGTCATTGTTAAGTTGTTATGCTATTTTTCAGGCCTTCAATGAGCTCTTAAACGTCGGTTATCCAACGAACACAAATATAATTTATAATAACAACGCGTGAGAATATTGTATTCATATCTATAAGTAATTATATTGTTTAACGTTAACAACACATAAAAAACAGCCGTCAAGACAACATTTTTAAGCAAATTGACCCCTTATAGTCCGTGAACAATATTGTCCATGGATTTTTAGTGCAAATAAAAATAAGAAGTATTGAAGCCGATCGAGTGTTGACACAATTTTTCCAAAAACGATTAAGTCAAAGATCAGAGACCTACTATTTATACATAAAAAAAATTTAGGTAGACGGTAATCGTTTATTGTATCTTTCAGAGGTGATTGATAGCTAACGCACAAAAGATTACCGAAACAGTGTGCTCCTAATATTATACTTTCTTGCACGCACGCTCATTAATAAAATTTCATAACTGCCGGTTGACAGTTTAATAGAGTCCCCGGTGCATGTATGTGGTGTGGACACACTACTATTCCTAACCGGGACTTAGAAATATTGTGTGTATGCAATTTGCCAAAGAAAGTGCTATAGCCTGCTTAACCGCATTGGTACAGACATAATGTATCTATATTTTTTGTACGAATGTGTGGGCAATTGTAAATGTCTCTGCGTTTCCGCGTCCGCTGTTGAATGTCGACCTATTTGCACGAGTTAAAAAAAAACCCGTTTCCGCTGTTGAAGTTTTCCCTGAAATATTGCATTATAATAGTGTAATAATAATAATAATAATAAGTATTCGTTTCGTATTGCAGAAGAATGGGTAACTAAGAAAAAAGTAGAACTAACGACCAAAAAGCAAATCGAGACCCGTGTCAAAAGGCAAGTGGTTTTGGAAGACGGCAAGGTGGTCGAAGACTCTGGACCGATCGTCACTACCAATACAACCGAAGACACCGAAAAACAGGAACACCAACAGACCGAGGTAAGCCATGTGATTTGAGTTTAAAACTCCCTCGAATGTGCCTCTGGACATGATTCACTCGATAATTTAACGATACGATAGATAAAAGTGCTAAGCCTACTAGTCCGATTATACAATACATATTTTGCATAGTACCATAAACAGAAACCAATTCAAGTATTTAGGAGGGGAGGTTCCAATCATAAATAGTAAATCTAATAGGCTTCACAAACAACATAATAATTAACAACACTTTTTTACGAACTATGTTGTTTATTAGGTGTGTACATTGTGTTTTTTTAAAGGTGATTGACATAATTTCAATATGATTTTAGAACGAGCAGCGCTATTTTTTTATGCACTTAATGCTTTGCCTGCAACATTGACACGTGTCAAACTAAAAACAATATAGTCGGAACAGGTGCATTTCTTATATTCATTTCAAACGTAGGCGGCGCACGACCGTCTATTGTGCTCTCTGCAAAACAATAATTGTGTTTTCTTAGCAGCGCGCAACAACATTTATATATATATATATATATAATGAGAATATTGTTATGATTGAACTCTTCACGGAGATATCACACGGGCGCATCTTACAAGAAACCTGCAGCGGTTGAATTAGATCAATGTTCGAAATAATAATTACACATTTTTGTTTTGTGCTAAAGGAATACAACAATAAAGATTACACGAGTACCTATAAAAAATCAAATGTGAATATAACACGTATTCGTTTTGTGTTCAATCTAATCCGATGGCGTTTACAAGGTACAAGCGCATCAATAATACAGTGTATAATAGAAAAGAGTCAATCGGAGAAAAATTAATTTGCACGACGAATAATAAATTAGATACACAGTTGTATTGTTTTTTACCCAATGCTCAATCATAGCGTTATAATTAATTATTTATTCGGTTATTCTGTCACGTTCAGTGCATTAACTTACGAGTAAATCTTAATGCGCGCGTTCTTTAAGTACGATGATCCTGCAACATATCTAGCCCGTCAGAAAGCGAATGTCCGATCGAAGCTAATATTACAAAAATGTCTAATAATATGATTATTATAATTATTGATCAAAAGTGATTTGAACGCTGGAAACATTTGAGTTTTGGATTTTTACGATTTTCTCTGAAACACTGTTGATATATTTTCATAAGCGCCCGCAGGGAAATTATCAGGGAGGGGAATGATGAAATTGCGTTTTTAAACCTCTCTTAAATAGTTGGTTTGACTTAGGATAGAATTTTAAACATGTATGAATTATTATACTGTATTTGAAAAAAAAATGAATAATATGAATATAAAATAATAAACGTTTTTTTCGCATATAAGGAATGTTACTAAGCTAACATACAGACCTATAGGTATCTCAAGTATACTTGTACGCGAGCTGTTTAAATTAGGATTGTTGACATTTAAATGTATACATTTAATACCAAACAACGTTTATATTTCAGCACCGTCAAATAGGAGACGAAGGTGACGGCGACGGCAGTACCAAAGAAGTAGTAGTCAGGGCGTCTTCGTTGGAAGGAAACCCGTCTCTTCTGAAAGAGGTTAGGGAGAAGAAAATTAAAAGCCGGGAAGAAAAAGAAGAACTAGTCGAAACCGAAGACGTAGTCCATCTCGGCAATATCAGTGATAAGGTGAGTTTTTTATTTTTTTACATTACTGTTTTAATTATACCATATAAAGATTATATAGGGACTTCTTTTTTATCTATTATAATAATATTATACTAGGTGTTTTTTTTGACAAAATGGATATCAACTAGATTGTTTTTTTTTTAAAAAAGTCTTTCTATCTTTGCTCTACACTTGGTAACCCATCAAAAGTATCGTCACAGTCTATGACCGTTGTGCGATTATGTTTTTATGTTATTTAAGCTCAGTAACGTTTTTTTGGTTTAATCCAACATGCGCATGACAGGCGCCACATACACGTCATGCTCTACATGCTCGATGATCGCATTTATAACGTCATACTGTCACACTAAGTCGCGGTCGTTTACATGTTGCGCAATTAAAGAAATGAATTATACATATTTTAATTTATGAAATCCTATTATTACAGTGAATACAGCTGCTAATCGAGTTCTGCAAATGGACGTTACACGTTTACTTCGGTTCAAAACACTCTGTTAGATTTTTATCTCTGCTAACGTTTTACGTATTATTTCCATTCGCGGTTAAGAAATAAAGTTTATTTATGTTATTTTTTTTATTACCGTCGATAATCTTTAAACATGCCTACATAATACATCTCGTCGTATTTTCCGGTCAAATAATGCGGTAGATTGTGTATAATTTTTTATTATTACACCCCGTCCGACACATATCGCCCAAGTGAATCTTACAGCCGCGCACTATACTATTACAAGTACTTAAGAACGCGGTAAGTGTTGTTTGAACCCCGCACACTATTGGCTGTTGTAGAAAATTGGCCGGAAAGACACAGGCTAATCCATCGACACGCCGATCCAAAAATTCGGCTGTAGCGGTTTAGTTTTTTTCTTATAGATACATATATATACATAATATTATTATTATACAGTTATAGAGTTAAGCTAACGTGATTGTTAATTGTTAAATGTTGCCGTTTTGACGAATATAATTATTAGCGTTGGAAGCTAAAGTGACGCCTTCAATCAACAATATCATAACATCTGATAGAAATCTTCCTATTGGATTTTCTCCTTTTATTATCCGAGAGAACTTCTGCTGCGATCGTATCTTCACGCACATTTTTTTCTCTTTGAATTTACAAGCTCACCAGTATACATAGTACGCCTCGGATAGTGTACGCTATTTAGTTTTGTCCGGTACACGCATAAAGCGAAGCTCGTTACCGTAGTTCAAAATAAAACCGGTTTTTCATAGAATTTCTTTAGCTCTTCAGCGCACTTGTTCGTTTTTACAGTGGTCTTTTTTATTTTGCCACAATATAGGCGCACACGCACATTGTTAGAAAAATATTTTTTTTATCAGTTCCTCGAGATCAACTTGGACTTTGAGCCGTTTTTATTCATCATGTCATGTTGACGTCCTGAACGGCGAAGATATTACACCGGTGAGCAGTGTTATATTGTAACCATATCATACATGTCAGGTCGTTTGTATACAGTAAGATGAGTAAACAAAATAATATTAACTTGTGTCTTGGGCGTCTACGGGAGTAGCAGATTTTCGTGACTGCTTCAATTATATATTATATTATACTATATATATAATATATATATATATATATATAGTATAATATAATCAATAATGTAAGTGTTATCGTTGTTAATGGAAACGTTGGCCTGTACAATTAACAAGTTGTTATTCCTCCGATACATTTAGAAATTTACCAGCTGCTTTTTTCTATTTTTTCTCAAAGACATAATCATCAGCGAGATTATAATTTAGCTTGTTTAATTTAATATATTAAGCAAGCTGAAAAAAAATTCTTGAACACATAAATATTGTAAAATAACATAAACTCAAGTATCTCCAAAAAGAAAAACTAAAAAATTGCTCGCTCTGTATAAATCATATAATATATTCACATATATAAATACAAGTTTTTATAAAGTCGTTGTCTTGATCTTTCATTGACCTTTAGTGATTCTACTTGTGCCAAGCGGATATATTTTTTTTTCCTGATGGCCAGTTTCTAGATTTCATCATATTATAATATTACATCTTTGAACAAACAGGTAACTTGAATTATCGTATGCAGGACACCGTTGAATACTGTTGCCTACTAAACAAAACCTTCCTAGGAAATAGATATAAATTTAATAAGTTTAGCAGCAACCATTAGAGACGTTGTATATAGGCTTTTCAATAAGGTTGTAAACACTTTTATGTTGGTCAGTTTTTTCAGTATCTGAACGTCTCAATCATAAAATCGGAATTTCATGTTTACACGGTGAATTATCCAATTTGTGGGCCTTTATTTGTTTATAGTTTTGTATTAATGTACATACGGTAAACTGTTTTTTCTATTTTTTAATATTGTTCTAAGCGTACTACAACACGAAAACAATACCCATTTAGCCATGTTAGATGTTTCTAAAAAACAATGACGGCTAGAAATTATGTAATAGTATGCCTTATCCGCTTTCGGCCCTATTTTACCAATCAACTCTTATACGCCGATTCACTTATCAATTGTCTGTTAACAACTTATACGCTTATCAATGATCTTTTTCAGTTTTTCAGGCATTGACGATTTTCCCTTATCACCATCCCCAGTGTGTTACAAACGCGTTAAAAAAAAAAAAAGCGTCACGCAAATTTCCTTGACAAATTCCCAGCTATAAAACATTTTCGTTGTTCATGTTTGTTTTTTTGTCAAAATAATTGACTACTAGAAAGTGGGTATTAACAACGTGACGAGAGCACCGTAACAACACAGTGAACGAAATTAATACATACCCATTTGATGGCGGTGTTTGTTTTAGCCGGAAATTATGTTGTGTGCAATCTATAGTTACTGTCATAACTAGCAAACGAACCCGAAAATTGAAAATCCGGCTTTGAGGTGAATTTGCACTTTCTTAAGTGGACCTTTGTTCAAAACTTCAGGTCTCCGAGTACCGTAGATTTTGCTGGGCACAGCAGACAAACATACATATCAGGCTAGTTACACAATGTGTTTGTCGATATAGTCGAGTGCAACTGTCAATAGCCGTATAGTACACATCCGGCCAGTAATTATGCCATAGGTATAATGTGTTTTCCTCGTACCTTTATTTCGTTTTTACTATTTTGTTTGTGCGCTTTTCAAGGTGAGCCACTGCACTTGGTGGTGTCCGCGTGGTTAATTGTCACTCTTTATTTTCACACTTAAAACGGAGAAATAAACGCTGTGTACAGGCCGTGTCGACCTCATAAGCATTTTTTATGAGTTTATATTATTTTGCGGCAGAAATTGGACAATGCTCGAAGACAATCAATCTCAGATTTTATAACTTAAAAGGCATTATCAACGTTCAAATTATTCGTTATAAAAGAGACGTCGGTTTTTAAGTTTAAAATGTATAACTAGGTACATACTTGTGTTTATTATAGGTTCTTATAAGTAAATAATATTGAAATGGGTTGTTGTTTGATCCCAAATTTTATGACTAACAGTTTACAATACCAAAAGTAAAACAAATGAGATTTGCTTTTGCGGTAAAATTTATATTATCATTGAGTAAAAATTAATTTATGCAGAAGAAAATCAAAACAAATTTTAAATATCTTGAGATAAATGTGTGTAAATATGTAGATATGTTGCAGATAAAAAAAATGGATGAAATGATTTAAAAGTTATTGTTTATCTCGGACATAAATAAAAAAAATAATCAAACGTTTCAAGCAAAAAATTGCAATAAACGAATACCTCTCTGGGTGCGTTCAATTCAAAATTCAGAGTGATCAAGTTCATAAAAATTACTAGTTTTACTCAATATGATTCTTCGTATGGCAGTTTTATTATATAGGTTTTGCCGTTTAACTGTGTCCTACTAACCCGTTTAGTTTGTCCGTACACTAAATATGAATACTTATACTTACTAAGTCAGTTGTGTTATTACTGTATTTAACGATTATGTAATTATTTAAATTTTCGAGTTGATTTGAAAACAAAACTTACAATTTACCCACATAGTTATTATATTATTATAATCTTCGTGTACACGTTTTAAATATTAATCGATAAATATTGTGTATAATATATGTCCAGTTTCTTTGTTCATTGCAATATCCTTTAGGTAACTAAAGCTATGATTACTAGAAGATATCCACTTACCCCTGTGTTAATGCATAAACAGTAACGGCTACTATTTTAAGGGAAACATTCCTTCTTCTGCGTCCATATCGCAACCGTAAAAGCCTTTAGGAATATAAATAGACCCGCAACGAATTATTAACCACAAGTGTTGTGTACGGTGTACGAATTTCGTGACTTTACCGACCCAATCTATTACAAAACGTATAGGCTCCTACATGATGCCGTTCTCTATATTGTGCTTAACTGTACTCGACCTAAAACGGTATTTATGCGAACGCGGGCGTCTATTATATTTTTCATTATTATCTATCTGTATTCCTTATACCCGCATACATATATTACTTTTATTTCTTATAACGAGAATTGTGCTGATGCTGTGTGAGTATCGAATTCGTTAGTCATTAATTTTAATACGATACAACAATAATATTATGTATAGTGTACAACAACAATAAAATATACAGTTAGCATTAGGTTTTTCTTTTTTACGAAGTGTGAACATATTATATTTTGAAAATAACAAATCCGCGCTATTATTTCAACGGACTTCAACGGATTCAAATTCGGATAGGTACTTAATTTATTACTATTAATTTTTTGCATTAAATTATGTTTTTCACAACATGTTTGTAGTTGAAATATTGATTAATGACACAGTACAAAAAGGTGACAGGATCATTTTATAAAAATTGACGCGATACAAGCATTTTCTCGAAAAATATTTACAATGCTTTAGTTTTTCTTTTTGAAAACATTTATAATTAGGTCATTGTGCATTCAGCATTATTACAATATTGTCAAATATTTACATTGTTTATACTTTTTAACTTTTGAAACTTGAGTAAGATTATTAAAATTGTAATTATTCCGAGATAACAAGCGT